AGCTCGACCCGAAATTAATTTTTTTACCGAAACCCGTGATTCCCCGAACTCGGGCACACGACATTTATTGAATTTTCGGGTCTAAGGTCCCCGTTTTTTCGGTCGGGCTCGGGCGGTCATCGGTCGGGCGTTCGGGTCGGGGCCCCGTTGCGACCTCTGGACCCCTAGACCGTAACATGACGTGTGAACAAAGTTAATGACCAAAAGAAATCTCTTTGTAATGGAACATGGCTTAAAATTTCATACTAAATCAATCAATTTGAAATAATCTTCGTTAAATAGTTGGAAATAAATGCTACGAAAAATCATTTTTTACCTGTATCTGATCTCACCGGATCTCACTAATTATATGAACTGGTGTATACTTGACTTTGATCAGTGGTCACTAATTTGAGAAAGAATTATTTGCGAGGAAAGAATTTAAATAAGAGAGAATATTTGGGCACCAGTTTCATAGGCTTGAACCCAGTGTCTTTCTAATGACTTCTCTGAACAAATTTGTTCTCATTTATTTTCGTCTCGACTTCCGGCACTTTCTTTTCATATTTAACTTAGAATGGTTCTTGGAATTGAGTAATTAGTAGTCTCTTTATGTGTGCTGTGTTCTTATGGAAAGATGATACGTAAAACTCTGTCATTATAGTTCTGAGTTTTGAAACGAACATACCTTCGTTCTGCATTTTCATTTCGAATCTGATGCCGTGAATGTGCATATTTCGATTATTATTATATTGGTATAAAGCTTGAAGTGTCTGTAATTATTAAATTCTGTACATTCCACATATTTTGTATTGTTTGATAAACTGGATGCCAATAAATCAACTAACAATATTACTCGTTATAAATCAAGTAAAAACGGAGACTGAGGCCATGGAATGCGATGAAAATCAAAACCACATTCACGGTGCTAAGAACCAACATCAAACATCGGACATTTTCAAACTGAACTTGGATTGCCTAGAGGAATTATTCGAATGGTTGTCTGTCGTTGAACTTCACGCTCTTGGTCAAACATGCAAACGAATGCATCGTGCGACCGGCTTATACTACCAAAAAACGATAAAAGATGAGCTTGAGATTCGAAGCGATGGAATTTACAATGTTGATCACCCGGTCAATGGTTTCAACGAATTCATCGAAAATATTATGATTTTTGATGATGATATCGGACTCTATCAATACATCCAATCAAAATGCAATAAAGCATTGAAAAGGATTGCATTCGATTCAGTGACAGTGACCGCACCACAAATAGAATGTATCAAAGATTCATTGAAAAACATTGAAGTCATTGATTTTAACGCTGGTGCTATTGATATGGAACTGTACGAAAGTTTCCTCAAATATTGTCCTGATTTGAAGGAACTTAAGGTGAGTTGTAGTATCATATACGACAGTAATGAATGGCTTCTTCAAAAGTATCCGAAACTTGAACATTTTTTAATTGAAAGTTGTGATGGCACCAAAAGCATCGCTTTGAAGACATTTTTTCATCAAAATACGACCATCAAAACCATTGTGACCGATACATACACATTTGTGAATAATTTTCAATCGTTTGCCGAAAGTGACTTGAAGTTGGATGAATTGAAACTTCATTTAGACGAATACGCTGTGAATAAGAACCTTTTTAACGATTTGAAGAGACTGCATGCAAATGGATTTTACAAACGACTTCATTTAGAGGGTGCAGAAAATTTTTCTGAACGTTTCGAACAAATGGCATCACTTTCATCACCACTAACTATAACCATGATTCTGTGGATCGTTCGAAAGATTGACGTAATACGATTGTCGTCACTGGTCATGTTGAGGGGTCTACATCTATATGGCATGGATTTAAGCTTGGAAAATATGGAGATTTTGGCAAAAAATCTTTTAAATTTGCAAGAAGTTAATTTTCATTCATCTTCTGCTAATGAAATTCTACCATTTATTCGCAATTCACCAAAACTAGGAAAATTAAGCATTGATTTTCCTCGAGACGGTGTCGATGGTGTTATAGATTTGGCTACATTGAATGAAGAACGAATGAAATTGACGGGTGCACGGAAGTTGGTGATTATGGTACCTGAAAAAGCTTTCTTAGCAACGAAATGGGCGAACACAAAAACCGAATACAGTTTAATTGAGCTAAAACGACGAAGCTATCTATAAAACTGTTACAAAGACTATCCCATTGATTCGAAGTGTTTTCAACAGATGTTTAAAATTATTTTCATTCTTCAAATAACTTTAATAAACGAAACTCCTTTTCAACAAATGCATTTTATTGATTATTTCTTTATTGAGAAGTAAAAGTGTCACGTCATCAACTGACTCTTGTAATTTCAAAATCGAAATGCATGCACTAAAACTTGAACCAACCACGGTTTTGGTCAATTTAAAGGACTTTGATTTTTTTTGTGCGATTTTGCGTAGACTATCGATTTACTACCAAATTGAATATTTTGATCAGCTGTAAAAAAAAAACATTTTTAAAATCTATGAATTCATTCTGATTTATTTTAAAAGAAAACTTCCAAATGATTTCGACATAGTTCTTTTATATACGGTGTAGCCAAGTATAGCATGAACTGAGCTGTCTTTTAACACAATTCTTTTTTACCTGAACATTACCGCTGTGAACGGCTGCAGATTTGGACTTTGATCAGCGAACTGTACATGTATTTGTGAGAAAATAATGAATACTTCGAAACAATAAAATGGATTGTTAAAAAATATAAGGCCAAATTATTATATTTTTCAAGTCAATAGACGCCAGTGTTTTGGTGCTTTCAAAGAATTTTCTCAAACAAGTCAAATCTTCTTCTTACTCGTTTTACGTCTCGACTTCTGACATCTTGAATTCGTTTTTAATGATTATTGAGAATTGGATGACTAATACCGCTGTTTTAACAACTTGTGTTGGTTCTGAGTTTTGAGATGAAAAAATCTGCCTTTTGCCTCAAAATAGAAAAAAAAAGTTATTTTCTGCTTAAACATTTGCAGGGCTGTAATTTTCACTCTGTCAGTGCACGCACACAGTAGTGTGCACACTCACATTCTAAATAGGTCTCATGTGGCTGCTATATGGCAACGTTATATGAAACTGGCTCAATCATAATGTAAGAATTTGTTATTGAATTTGACATACTAAGTCTAAAGAAATTTCAATCCAAAAAATAGCCTGTTCAAAGTTTCACATCATTACAGTACCACAAAGGCAAGTCTTTCATACAAAAATGAATTTTTTTTTCGATTTTTGTATGAAAAGTCTGTGAAAAATTGATTGCATCTTAAAACTAACATCAGATTCGGGTTTCTCGTGCCAAAAAACCCCCACTACACAGTCTTTCAGCGTTCAAATTGAAAGGCATCATTTTAAGGCATTTTTCTCATAAGTGCCTCTTCACAGTCTAAGTTTTACATCGATCAATCAATGTCGTTGAAAATTTGACCAGATCTATTCCTCGTAACGCCAAATCATCCCGTAAAGTCAGATTTTGAATTTCATGTCTGAGCACGAAACCATCGTGTCACCAAAATGGTTGAAAAATGATCAAAAAAGTAAAATGTATGGATTGTGTCCATTCGGACCCAACAAAATTACACCGGTCAACAGATATTGCTCAAAAACTAATCAGCACGTCTCCTAGTAGTCCCAAATCATCCTGCAAAGTCAGAATTTGAATTGAGTTTTTGGAAAAAGATTTATCGAGTTAACAAATTTTGGCAGCACGCCACAGGACACAGGACACATCACACACAGCGACGCACATTAATATGCCCCAAAATCATCTCCAATCGTGTTTTCTACATTAAATATGCATAGAAAACATGTTTTGGGATGACTTTAATTTTTTGGCCTAATACAATACCTTCCCTACACTAGGTGTGCGGAAAAGTAAAAATGTTCAGCGCAATGTCGGCGTTTTATTTTCAACCAAAAGTATGTTTTAGCGTAGATGGCGCTGATTTAAATGGACATTTGTATGTATAGACGGTGGCGCCGCCCTACTCAATTAAACACTAAACTACAGCGTTTCCAATCGTTGGTTCAGCGTAAAAATCAAATGTATACAAATTGCGCGTGAAAATAAAATAAGTCGAGTTATTTTACTTTTATTCCGACTTCAAAGATATTTGGTTTTTACGTTTAGATTTTCTCCATTTGTATTTTGAGCAAAATATATTTGTATTCGGGTTTCGCGCATAGATCTCATATGTTTGTCTTTTATTCCGATGCTTTCATATTTATATTTATTTAATTAAATTATTTTCAATAAACCACCAAGGCGAAGGAACGCTGTTCGGTGCAGTTATTATTATTAATAATTTGAATTAATGTATGGTAGCCATGCCTGTATGCTACCTTAATGACGTGAAACTTTGCACAGACTATATTTTACGCAAAAAAGCTACTCGGAGAAAATAGACATGGCAAAATTCAAAGCAACCAGACTAAATTGGCATTTTGACATCTGTATTTTTTCTCACATTTGATGATATTTTTTTACTAAATGAAAATACTCCGAAAATATTGACTTGAATAAAATAAAGCTAATGGCACATTTTGATATCATATTTTACTCGTTCGTTTTTCGTTTCGTCCAAATGTGGAAGAACGGTATTAGTTATTATTGAAATAAGAGTTTGACGTGAACAAAAAACGGTGGAACAAGTAAAAATAATAGAGAAAAAAATGAAATAAAAAAATAAATAAAAAGTAAACTACACAAAAAAATTCTTTCTCGATGTATTAACGTCGATTTTTACTTTTTAAAAACTTAGTCAAACAAACAACCAAAATGAAAAAGAAATAAAGTGCCAGTCGATATACTGACCAAACTAGAGTTGATCGGTGATGGCATAGTCATTGGTTTGTATTGGTTTGTACAACATCGAAATAGTACATTAATTTATAGAATTTTGTATCACAAAAACGATGATTTCTAAATAATAAATGCAACGATTTTTTTTTCTCGTAATTTATTCGGTCTAACATATTTGGATAGAAATTAAATTTGCAAATTAAGTCCAGCGGATAATTCAATTGTAGTGGCATTAATGTATGGATTAGCGACAATTGTTTGTACTAATTGTGCGAATTCGTCTGGATGACCAAATCGATTTGGTGTTGGAATACATTCTTTCACAATAGCCTCCACCTGCTACCTCTTGGAATTTGATCGTTCAGTGGTGTTTGAATAATGCCAGGTGCAATCGCCACCTCACGAATGCCAATGTCTTCGAAATCAGTCGCCATCGGTTTTGTTAAACTGTGGATTGACCCTGATGCGGCTGCAGTAGCAGTTTGGCCTTGAACTCCATCAAATGCTTCAATGCCCGCAGTATTTATAATCACATCCCGTAATCCATCATTGTCCGGCGTATTTTTACCAATTAATCCAACGGCCAATCGTGACACATTAAAAGTTCCAACAACATTTGTCTGTGAATTTCAACAATATTTTTTTTCATTTTTAAAAAAAAGTTATTTTTCTGACATGAATTCAATACCTTCATACATGCCTTCAATATTATTATAAAATCCTCATGATGTATTGGCTTTTTTGTATTAAAATTGTATGTGATATAGGCATTCATTAGGCCGGCACAATTAACTAGTACATTTAGTTTGCCATAATTTTTGGAAATTTCCGACAGCACACGCTGGACATCTTCTTCGGAAGTTACATCGGCTGGTATGTAATGTGCATTTTGACCCAATTCTTTTGCTACGTTCGCACCATTTGATGTTGGTAAATCACAAAACACCACTTTTGAGCCTTTGATAACGAATCGGGTGACCGTTGCTTTGCCAAGACCTGATGCTCCACCAGTCACAAGTGTTACTAAATTCTAAACACAAATTTATAGAAACAAAATTCAATTTTAATTCGGTTTTTATGAATAAAATGGATTTTAAGCAAAGAATCTCCTCTTCTTACAGAAAATCATATTTTTTTTTTTTTTTCAAATAAAAAAATGATCCGAAGTGTCTTAAAAGAAATTTGCGACCAATTCAATTGATTTCGTCATCGCATTTGCTGTTCGTATAAAAATCAAATGGTTGTTGATTGGATATCATCACTGCCAGAAGATAAACAAAAGAGGGTGAAACTGATACAAAATGAGTTACCTCTTCAGTATCAATCTCACCCTCTTTTCAAAAAAAGAGTCTTTTGTTTATCTTCTTACCTACAAAACGAATAGATTCGCTTTATTGTGAAAGGTATATTCTTTACGAGAGAAGTATATTGTGTAATTTCTAGATTGCTCTAAGGCTGGTCGAAGAGAAAAAGATGCCACCACTAGAAAACTTAACCAAAGCTGATTATGAAGAAATGTTGGAGATGTCAAACAATCGACGACAAAAGTATTATGTTTATTTGCATTCATCAACAATGGGCACTTCGAATGACGAGGTATGAATGAACTCATTTACTATTCCACTATTTGATTTAATTTGAATTTTATCACATTCACAGAAGCGTATAATAGCAGCGAGTATCTGTGATACAAAAAAAAACAACTGGGCACACTTGGTCAGCCGAAAACCGATCATATTCGATGTGGCCCAGGACATAATACACAATTTTTGCAAATAAGAAGAGAAACAATGACTAAATGGAGAAATTTGAAGTATGGCCTTTACCATTGGCATATTGGAGCTAAAATAATCTTTTTATTTTGGAATTGAAAACCAAAAACGGATATCTAGCATTTGAGTCGGTATTTTATTTGAGAAAATTTGCCAATGATTTGATTCTGGGTAGAAAAAACAAATTTGTCGTTTGTGGTTTTCAATTTCAAAAAAATACATCCACTGTTGGAAGACATAAGAACAACCTAATTATTTTCATTATTTCCATAGATTGTGGCGTGCGATGAGACTAAATGAACCAGCTCTAATATTGGACTGTGGTTTCAATGACAGAATTACGGACCAGGAAATTCGAGATATAGCGCGTCAAATTAAATATTCCTTCAGTGAAAATTGATTAGATCGTAAACCATTTGTACTGAATTTGTGTAACATGAACACAAATTCAAAGCTATGGTATCAAATATTATACTTGTCAAAAAATGTTCGTTTCTCTAAATTTGGCATATTGTTTGACAATTCATACCATAGCTTTGAATTTGTGTTCATGTTATAGCTGTCATCAATATAACACCGTTTCGACTCATGGTCACCATACCAGTTTTTGAACCATTCGATAATGGCATCAACGAAGCCACTATCAACCAAAACCATCGTCCCCATACGGAATTCTTCGGTAAACGAGAACAAGCGAGAGTCTGTCACAAGTTTTGAATAGAGAGAACTCGCCACTGACAAGCCTAGATGGGTGTAGGTTATTTAGTATTACATTGAAGTTGCTATGAGTGCATGGATCCATTTTGACTGTCTTTTTTCGTGACTTACCCTTTTTTTCTTACCTTTTCTCTAGATGGACCGTATAATCTCTGACAAAAATGCAGTTTGATCAACAACAACAAGCGACGGCATCACAACTGAGCAAAATAATGATTTAGTCATATATAATTGCAAAGGTTGTGGTCAATTGATGCAGGTCACCGGCAATTTTTCATTAAATATATCATTTTTATTACAGTCAATTTTCGAGAAACATTTTTGAAGCTATTGCTTTTGGAAAATGGACTGTGACTAAAATTGATGATTTTACACCGTTCTGAATCGAGCTGAATTATTTGGTTGTAGGACAATAGGTGAACAATATGAATACACAAAATATGTTTAAATGGATATTCAGTCGCCGTGTTTAGCCTCAAATTCAATCATCATATATAAATTAAATATTCTGGACGCATTTAATTACAATCTGGCCAATGATCCGTTTATGCCCCAAATGAAAACAAATAAATAGAATAGAATAACAGTGATTGTAGAATTCAACGATTTTCTCAATTAATCGGTCAATTGGATTGTAATTTTGTTGTTATAAATTGTAAAATAAAAACACTGTCTCTCAAATATAAATCCAGAAACGAAAAATTATTCTTTTTACTTTTTATTGAATAAATAAATGTTGGATTATTCCAATTGATTCAAAGCTAGATAGAGACAAATTGACTAAAATAAAAAATGTGCATCGATTTCTTTAATAGAATGCAATTTTATTCTTTCAAATTATTACAATTGGTGGAAAAATAAAAGGTCACAAATGCACAAATCTCGAATATCTCGAACTATTTTCCGTGATATTGACATTTGAAGTGCAATCACATAAAGTTCATTCGCTTTCGTTTTTCTTTGTACCGTAAGTACTTTTCCGATTATGGTTGATCGTAATACATTGAGAGAACAATTTGCAACCGTGTGAATGCCGCGAACACTTTGGTTTACACTCACACATATTGAATTAGAAACGAGCATTTGAATGTCTCACCCAAAGTAGAGAATCGTGTTCAATTCAGAATGATATTGAATGCAGCAGCGACCAGTTTGCATGCACAACTCGCTGCAGTTTTTTGTGTGAATCAACAAAGTCTAAAATTAAAAGTGTCGAATAGACAAGATTTCGTTGACACAGTGCTACTTAGTTTTCAGTTAAAAACGTGATTTTCAACTCAATATTCAAAAGCTCGTCGAAATAAATAAATAAATGCACCTTTTTAGGAAAATTGCTCTTAAATAGTTCAAAATTATAAAAAAGTCCGAAATTTGTTGCTTTCAATTTTTGCTATTTTTCAAAAAAAAAGGTGAAAATAGACCGAATTCAATTCTTTTAGCATCAATTCCTTCTTGGTGAGTATTCAGAATAAATATCTAAATTAATTGTTAATCCATGATTTCATTATTATTTCAAAATTTTACAATTTGATAAGATTAAAAACAAGAATTTTGTTCGGTAAAAATTCCTTTTTATTTAAAAAAAAATGTTGTGGATCACAGTGCGGAAGAGTTCATCTTACGGATGTAAGACATTTTATTACGGATGTGTTTCCAGTTGAAAAACTAGTTTATTTATCACCGGATGCACCAGATGCACTGGAACAACTTAATGCCGATGATTGCTATGTTTTGGGAGCTATTTTTGACAAAGGAAATCGACAACCATTGAGACTGGCCAAGTCGAAGCGACTGGGAATTCGTGCAGAACGTTTGCCATTAGAAAAATATATTAAATTCAATTCACATAAAACATTGACGTTAAACCAAATGACAAGAATTATTCTTGAGCTTAAGCGAAACTAGGATTGGAAAAGAGCACTAAAACATGTACCAGCTCGACATACTTTTGGACAAATTGTAGTCCAACAGTAATAATTAGTTACGAAAATTTTAGTATAACATTAATTAAACAATTATCGACTCTAACTTGTAATAAAAGGATGATTGACATAAATAAAAATAAAATGTCTTACATCCGTACTAGGGGAGAGAAACCAATGCTAGTTTTTCTAGTTTATAGCTAATTTACTAGTTTTTAGCTAATTTACTAGTTTATTGCTTGAATAATCTAATAATGCTAATATTCCTTTATGAAATTGCTAGTTTTCTAGTTTTTTGTTCTGTCAAATGACAATCAAATGATTGTACTGACACAATGAAGTATTTTGACGTTTTGTTGTTCAGACATATTTTTATGTGTTTTGAATAATTATACAATAATAATAGTGGAAATTAGTTTAATTATTCTTTTTTAACACAAAATCGTGCATAAAGTATTTGTTTCTTTCAATAGTCGACTTGTAAAATTGATTTAGTCACCAAATCATGGCACAATATCAAAATGGCGGATCAAATCATTTTTGCTAATTTTTCTAGTTTTTGCTAGTTTTTGCTAGTTTTTTTCTAATTTTCCTAGTTTTTACTTGAAATATAAAAAACTAGCTAATGGTTTCCGTCCCCTAGCATCCGTAAGATGAACTTTTCTGCACTGTGATCCACAACATGCATTTATTACATTAGTTTTGCGATACAAATAATTTTTGATAGAATTTTCAATGCCTGTATGATATCGTAATGACATGAAACTTTGTACAGGGTATTTTTTTTACACAAAAGCGGTGGGCGCTGGTATCGAAGATTTTTTGTTGAAGATTCAACGAATACGACATCTATTAAAAGACATAAAGATTTTTGTTACTAAAGGACAAGTGTGTCCGTTTGTATTGCAAATTCTGCACTCAGTTGTCAACCGTAGCTGCTTGTGCAAAATTTATAACACATACGCATAGTCGCATACACAGAATGGGAGTCAGTGTGTTCTCAGTACTAATACGTTTGCAATACAGCTATATAGTTTGCTAGAGCTGTGCCAACACAGCAGTAGTAACGAAAATCTTTATTGTCTTTAATAGGTGGCGTATTGTTGAATTTTCAACAAATATTTCCATACAAAAAGTGCTTCACCAGCGCCCACCGCACAAAAGTGACTTTCTGAAAGTTTGAAGAAATTTCAATACAATTGAGGGGTATCTCCCACACAAAATTCTCGTTTATGAGCAAAAAATCGAAAATTTTGTATGGGGGGTACTCCCAAATTGTATTGAACAGTGTTGCGGCCTATACTGCACAAAACAATGCGATTGTATTTGACAATTTGTATATGCAATCGTAGGCAATGAAAATATACAATGTCTCACTTTGCAACCCACGTTTCAGTCTATCTATGGAGTCATTGTTTTGCGAATAAGAGAATGATAGAATAAGAATATTTTTCTTGGATACGGTTGTCTATAAGATCGCAACACTGGTATTGAAATTTCTTCAAATTTGCTGATATTGTGTATTTAAGAAAGAAAATAAGATTCACAAGTCTTTATGGCGATTAAATTACTTCAAACAAACATTTATTGCGTTTTGTTGATTTTTTTTTCAGCGAAAAATCCAAAATTTTGTGAAAAAAATAACCTGTGCAAAGTTTCAGCTCATAGAGATATCATACAGGCATGGCTTCCATACAAAAATCAATTTTTTTTGAAATTTTTGTATGAAAATTGTATCGAAAGTTATTTGTATCGAAAAACTAATATTATATTTGTTTTTCTCGTACCAAAAAAACCCCCAATACATATTTTTTAGTGTTTCAGCAGAGCATAGCTCAGCGCTGCTGTCATCCACAGTATATTAAAATATCTTGCTGAGAAATGCGTCGTCCGTCGCATGCGAAGGTATGTAGCAGTTTTTACATCACAGCGAACAACAATGCATGCATTGTTCTCTATACAATCGTTTGAATGTTTTGAGTGACATAATCGTGAAGAGAACAATGCATTCATTCTTGTTCGCTGTGATGTATAAACTGCTAAGTATATTCGTATGCGACGGACGACGCATTCTCAGCAAGATATTTTGATATGCTGTGAATGGCAGCAGCGCTGAGCAATACTCTGTGTTTCAGTAACATGAAGTATCACTTTTGGAAGAAAAATTGCATTTTTCCCATGGATGGCCATGAGCATCACACCAGACATCCATCAACCAAAGTCGCAAGAAATCTAATGGTTTCTATTCCTCGGGATCTGTGAAGTCAGATTTTGAATTAATTTTCTTGGTTGAAAGTTAACGTGTTAACAAATTTTTGCGTACAGGGTACTAAAACACCCAGAAAACACATTTTTGATGGATGTTAATTTTTCGACCGATTCCAATACTTTACCTTACACACTAGGTGTGTGCGAAAACGTAGCATCACCTTTGTTCCACACAAATACACAGTTGAATATTTTATTTGTTTGAATTATTTAAAACAACAGCATATCATCATAGCTCGATGACACAGGTTGCGTGCATTAAGCAGAACGAAAGAAAAATTCCGCTTCATCGAGAATCAAAATAAAAATCGAAATGATTACATTGAATTGAAAAAAAAAAATGAAATGAATGACCTTTCAATCCAATATATTGAAACCTTTTACACCAATTTAAACGGCTATGATTTATTGTCGATTAATCTACTAATATTTGGTTCTCAGAAGACAATTTTATCGAATATATGAATAAATTTGATCAGTTCGATGTCATTTTCGTTGATTTCATTTTAATGTTAAATATCGGCTCCAATGAGTATGAAAATATCTCAAGAATTCAAGCAAAAAAAACGTTGTAGTATTCGAGTGGAATTGATTAAATTTTTTGCACAATCATCAAAATATAAAATAAATTCCAAATCCAATAACCATATAAAAAATCGAACTCGTTTTGAATCTTCCCATGATGGCGTTTAAGTAATCAATGAATTATTCAATAGATTCACTATGGAAAGAATTCTTGCGAGAATTGGCATTATTTAATAGTGATGCGTGCCTATTTTTAACTATCTGCTAACAAGTGTATAAATTTGAAAGTTCGGCAATATTCATTGATAAACCAGTTAAAATGTACGCACTTTTACATGATAAATGAAATGAATGAGACTCATGACACAAAACATATTAAATAAGCATTTAAAATTAATCGTATCTAATTGCATGAACCAAGCTCTATTAATAAAACATGTTTATGGCTCCGAAGAACGCAACACATTTCACTTGTTTATTTCTCCAAAAAAAAAATCATTGATTCCCCTGAAATTGTATTGTTGTTGTTGTTGTTGTTGTAAATGATTCAATGATGATGATATGCGGAGAACTTGATTTGACATAAATTATAGACAAGTGTCACATTGTCCATGCGTATACATGTTTCATGTTGGATGTATCTTACGCATTTTCTATCTTATACGCGTTATATTGAGTGCTTTGACATTCAATATAGTAGCTTTAGCTTATAATAAAAATGACGTGTTATTCTAATTTTTCTACTGTGTCTTGACTTAAGAACATTTCAAATGGCTAAATGTACAGTATTGCCCATAAATATCGGGTTGCTGAAGAAATTTGATTTGTTTTGCATTTTTTATGGTTTCTTTATTGGAGTAGCGAATTACATGTCCGTTTCAAAAATTCGCAAGTGGCCGGCCAATGGCCAAATTGTGTCCGTATTTATATTGGAGTCACAATTTTGACACATTAAATAGCTGTCGTATATAGGGATGCGATATTTTGTTGAAAAGACTCAGAATTCCCTTGAATTACAGTCGAATCAATATTATATTCACATATTTTCATGGATTTATTTTAAGAGTTTTGAATATCATTCAATTGGCTATGGCTGTTCATAACGCTTAATAAGCAATATCGTTTAGAAATGAGCTTCAATAAGAAAATACAAAATAATTTAACTTTTGTGTCCGGAAAATTAATGGCCCGCACTGTAGTTGCATAGAAAAATGGTTCCATTTGAACCCGTAATTCATGTCAAATATTATATTGTGCACTAGTTAGGTCAAAATTGGAATATGCGAGTATTGTATGGCTTCCATACCATCGTATCCAATCCGATGGAATAGAATCAATTCAAAAAGATTTGTCGAATTGGAAAATGTGATATTTGTTCGATGAAAAATTTAACTTTTAACTTTTATGTGTTATATAGAAATTAAAACAGTGAACACAATCGATATCTGCTGCTCCGAAGTCGAGAAGGCTGGTGGCTGGGTATACGATCGGATGGTGTTTCATTGTGAACGATATTGTACGAATTTTGTGATTAATTCAGTCTGTGATCAGACAGTGAATAAACAAATAATAAATAATGTCTTTTATTCATCGTGCGAAAACATTGGTCTTCCGAATGTTAACAAACTTATTCGAGGTATAACAATCAAATATACCGTCATCACTAAATTTGTGTGTATCCGGCTAAATTCTAAAGCAAATTAGATAACAAGTTCTTCGCTTAAAATCATGCGTTAGTATCGTTTTTGTATTCGCATTTTTTCAATATAAATATCGGTGGCAATGCCTAGAGCAGCTCATATTAATTTACGATCGTGAAGTGTATCAATCGAGTTAAAAGTAATTTTGTTGTTCGAATTTTGTTGTAATGAATTTTTCAATCGGTATTTCAAAATGTGATGTTGTGGTACTTTTGTTGGCCATAACTATATTTGTGTATTTGTATCTCAAGCGAATCTATTCATATTGGGATCGAATGGGATTTAAAACACTTCCGGGCACCGTTTATTTATTTGGACACATTAAATCGAATTTGATGGGAAAAGAAATGATGGCAATTATCGTGAAAAGATTATACGAAAAAACCAGTGAACCGTTTATTGGATTCTATGCATTAATGCGTCCAATACTACTAATACGTGATCCTGAATTGATTCGACATATTTTAATAAAAGATTTTTCGCACTTCCAAGACCGCGGTGTATACGTTAACGAAAAAGATGATCCATTGTCTGGTCATTTAGTGGCTATGGCTGGCGAAAAATGGAAAGGACTACGCGCAAAACTTACACCAACATTTACGTCCGGAAAATTGAAAGGAATGTTTTCAACATTGGTGGCATGTGGATCGAATTTACAAAATTATTTGGAAAAATTGGCCGAAAAAAGTGAATTACTTGATGTACAAGAAATTGCAGCCAGTCACGCAACGAATGTTATTGCATCCGTTAGTTTTGGCATTGATGTTGATGCAATTACAGATCCGAATACGGATTTTCGAAAATACGGTCGCAAGATGTTTTCTCCAAATATTCAAAATTCACTTCGACTCATTTTATTGACTTGTGCACCGAAGTTAATGAAATTTTTGCATATCAAATGCGTTAGCGCCGATGTGGAGAATTTTGTTTTATCGATTGTTAAACAAAATTTGGAATATCGTGAAATGAATAATGTGACACGTAATGATTTCTTTCAATTGCTTATCCAATTACGAAACACGGGATCGGTGGAATCAGACGGGCATGACAGTACAATAAAATCGAATGAAAATCAAAAGACGCTTACTGTGAACGAAATGGCAGCCCAGTCTTACATTTTTTTTGCCGCAGGCTTTGAGACATCGTCAAGCACACTTGCATTCTGTTTGTTTGAATTGGCAAGAAATCCGGAGATTCAGAACCGTGTTTTCGATGAAATTAGCCGAGTGCTAGAAGATCATGGCGGAGAAATTACATACGATGCAGTATCGGAAATGAAATTTTTGGA